AGATATCATTTCTAACATTCGGTTTATTTACAAGTGGCTCGGAGAGTACCAAAAAGGCTAATTCTTAACTTGAGATGACTTCAAAAAATTAAGATTCAACATTTTCAAACCTTCAATGAAATAATAAATGATGAGATTTAATAGTTATAACATCCAAATAAAATATTAACTTTATATTTTCTATTTATTTTAGTTATTTTGTATTCTTCTTCTTTTAAATTGAAAATAATTAAAATTTTGATATTTTTCATATATCAATATCAAATAAAATAAAAATATATAAATAGTAAAAATTTCAGTAATTTTTGTCTGATAGTATTTATTTATAAATTATATGATTAGGATTTAGTATATTTTTAATAAAGTATATTAAATAAATATATGTAAAATATTAAAATTATAGAGAATAAATTTTATTATTAATATGTTATCATATTATGAAACATATTGTTATTATGAATATTAATAATAATTTATAATTATTGTATTGAATGATAATTATTCAATGTTTCTTTTTTTTCCATGAATTGACCTTGTCTGTTAGCCAGTCTTAAGTTAAAAGAGTAATCATTGTATGAGGTGCAATTCTGAAATAAAATGTTGGAAATCCTACCCAAAGTCCTATAATACCTTCTCTTTTAGCTGTCTATGAATAGTCATGTTTCTTACTTTTCCCATTGCATCAAAAATTGAAGAATAAGGATATACACCTGCTGCATCCTTTTTCATTTTCTACATTTTAGTTTTTGCATTATCAAAAGGTAAAGCACAAAATGAACTCAAAAAGCCAGCTGCTGCAGATGCTCTATTAGAAATATAATTTAACAATATACAATAATCTTGTTTATTGAGTATCTTTAGTTCCAAAATAGTGATTTAATCGTTCCTTTATCTCATCATAAGGTCCCAACATTGCTACATTTATTACAATTGCTCTTATAACTGTTGGAGTAGATCCTCTCCATAATGCTACTATTCCTTCATCTTTAACAATTTTATAAAATGCATCAAAAACATTTTTATATCCTCTTCTCTCTTCTACAGGCAATGTACTATCTGCCTAGATTCTGACCAAAGCTAAATCAGCTGGATTACCTGCTAATGAACCAAGGAAACCTGCTACAATTGAACACCAAGATTTAGCTAAAAATGAAGGCTCTTTTCCATTATTTGCTTGTTTTGATCTTTAATACATTGTCTTATAAATTCCCATACGAGTGGTAGTGTAAAATACTTATCTTGCTAATGCTGAGTCAATTCCTTTCCAAAAACTTAATACACCTCCTTCTTTTAAGATTTCAGAGAAGACACGAAATGGACTGATCTCGCTACCTGCATTAGGACCTAATTTTTCTGATTTGAGCTGGATTCTAACTTTTATTAAGTCGACTGGTTAAATAAAACACGTAGCCACACATCCAGATAAACCACCTATTGCAAATGGTTACAAAGTATCAGTAAGTTTAGTCAGCCAATGCTTCTCAAGAACATTTTCACTCATAATTGATGCGTATTATTGTATTTAATATGAAAATTAACAAATGATATATATTTTGCAATAAATCCAAATATTTATTATATAAATAATACATTTTCATTGTAAAAAATGTATATTCAAACAAATTCTAAAAGTTTTATTATAGAGATATTGAATTGATATAAGAATCTTAAATGTATTCTAAAATTAGTTTTACAATTTTAATTAGAAATTATATAATTTTATGTAAAAATCAAAATTAGTTAGTATTTATAAAAATATATAAGAGTTTCTATTTTAATGATTTAGTATTCCAAATTTATTATTTCATTATATGTTATAAGTGTTTCAATACATAATTTTATTTTTATTTGCTTTGTATATGTATTTTAATTAATCGTTTACATTATAACAAAATAATTTATAAGCTTTAATTAGCGCTCTTTAGATTTTGGATTAAATCTTGTTATCGACGTACTGTTGTATAATAATAATGCTATTCAATATTTTTTGATTAACATCTAATTATAAGATAAGAAAATTGAGAGTATAAATTTATTGATGATATATGAGTATTTATTAGTGGATTTCTAAATAAACAAAATCTTGAAATAATTTTAAATTCTTCTTAATCAAATGACTTAATTTCATAAAGGTTTTACATGGACATAATGTACGAGTACATTGAAAACAAAAAATACCTTCATCAATTTAAGACAAACGGTGACTCCTAATCAAGGACCAGTTTTATTGAAGATTGATACTGAGAGAGAATTGAAATATACAAATGATCTAGGATGGAATTGGCATAAGAGTTGGAATATTCCAAACATTTCTGTGAAAATTTCTTTATAGAATGAAGAATGTACATAATGGATCAATTGCTAGGTATCTTATCTAAATCTAATTTTAGGTTTAATTAATGGCAGTGAAGTTGTTGTAGAATGATCTCTTTGAAGAAGTAGGATTAGAAGGAATAACATAATACGACATTATAGATGGTAAAGCTTTCTTTTCGGTATTTTTTATTAACAATTGTAGGGCGTAAAATTTAATAGCACAACTTACAATCACTAAGGACATAGATTTCAGTTATTAATATTACTGAAAGAGAAAGAGAACATCATTCTAGGACTATAATCACCACCAGTTTTTGTCGACAGTAGAAAAAGTGCTAGAGATGAACACAGATAAATCTAATATATCCAGCCTTTCGAACCTAGATATCTAGAACGTAACTTCTGTAAAAAAGAAAAACACTTTAATGATGTAGTTGATGCTCCAATTGAAAATAATGAAAATGGATTACACAATTATTTAACAGCTCCAAATATTAGAAATAAAGTATAAACTCTAATTTATTTTAGATAAAACATCCCTTATTTATGGCACTTAAGTTCTCTAGATGTTTAAATATTTACTATTAAAATAATTTAGAAACTGATAATTATCTAATTGAGTTTTAAAAACAATTAATGTCAAAATACTAATAATCTCAATACATCATTGTCTTTTAATCAAATAACAATAGAATCAGAAAGAAGGTAACATTAATTATATAATTTTAGATTGAAGAATCCTTAACCCAATTATTTGGCTAAAGTATGATATCTGTTGTTGAAAGAAAATATCTTGATGAAACCTAATTTAAGAAGCTCGAATTTTCATCAGATGATTATTCTTTAATCTATACTTAATTATAAGAGTTAATGAATTAATATTCATAAGATTAATATAACTAATCTGTGAAATAATAATAAGAATAATAATAATCAGATATGAATATAGAATAATAACAATAATAACAATAAGAATAATAATAACAATAAGAATAATAATAATAATAATAATAATAATAATAATAATAATAATAATAATAATAATAATAATAATAATAATAATAATAATAACCAATTCAAACTGAACAACTTCTTCAATAACAACCACCTAAAATATTAACTCATTCAGAAAGAAAATCTGCCTTTACAAAATATCTTGATAAATTACCAACTAAAAATTTCGAAGAAGAGAAATAAGAATAATAGTAGAGAATGGAAAAACTCAATAATATTCGAGAAATGGAAAATTATGATAAAGTTTAAAAAATAGTGAAGGTTGAAGAAGAATTAATTTAAAATAGAGCTTAATAATAATAATAATAATAATAATATTCATAATAATAATATTAATAATATGCACCAATCAATCATCCTTTTTCAATATTACTACAACAAAAATTGTAAGAATAAATCTTGTAGTATTATTTTATCTAATAGTAGCTAATGCTACTCTAAAAGCCCCCTTCTGTGTGATATATTTCTATATAGAATCAATATTAATATTTAACTTAATTTATAATAATCAATTTCAATTTTTATTTTGAAATGTTACAATTATAATTCAACCTCTTTAATAAATGTTCCTAAATATTACTAACCCTAAAAATGAGAGAATCTTAAAAATTGAGTGATACTTTATAATTTAGATTTGTTACTTTTAGTTTTGTATTATATAGTATTATATATGACAAAAATAAAAGTTATTATTATTATAATTAAAACATAACAAGGATATTTGTTTCTACATAAAAATACCAGACTCTTTAAAGAGGTTTGGAATTAACATTAAAAATAAACCTATAACTTGCTTGCTTAAAATCACTCTATTATAATTAGTAATTAATTCATAAGATAACTATTCTTATTATTGTGTAAATGATTAAATAAATATAAATCATTAATTTAAAATTAATTAATAATTTTAATTGTCTATTTTCATAAAATCTGTATTATTACCATATTTATCTAAACTAATTAAATAGATAATCATCTTCAAAAACAATTTTAATTAATCAGAATAAGTATTCAACTTTTAAAGGCTAGTTTAATTAATTTAATAAGATAAATTAATTCTGTTTTAATTAAACCTTGTATTTCGAAATTTAGTTATATCTAATTTAACTATGGCTCATATTATTTGAGATTTTTCAACCAATAATTGCTCTAATTTCTACTAGTATGATTTGTTAAATATAATATACAAGTTAAGCTTTTAATTGGATATAGTAAATTTATCTAAAAGATGAATTGAATATTTTTTTACTAAAATAAATGATAGTTTAGCATTAAATCGATTTTAAAGATTCAAAAATTGAATTTTAGATAATTTTAAAAAGAGTACGAATAAATTAGACTCAGGCCAAAAAAGGATGTATAGTTCAAAAAAAAAATCAATATTTAAATATCATGTATTCATATGTTTATATAGTATAGTTTTATTAATCAACCGAATTATGATTAATTAGATAGTAGTTCGTCAAGTGATAAAAATTAATTGAAGCAAATAAAATTAAAGCATTCTGAGATAATTTAGATGTAAAATTATTGAATTTAGTTTTAAACTATTTGCAGGAATGCATAATTCAGTAATATATACAAATTTAAAATAAATAATTTTATGGATTAAAGTTTCTACCAACCTTATTAATTGAAGAAAAATAGTATAGTATAATATTATATTATAGATGAATTACCTACTTTTATCTGATTAGCTTGATTATTAATATGATTGTTTAGAATTGGAAAATGATTAATGGACAAGTATTTCAATATTGAAAGGCTTTCCATAATATATTAAAATTAGGATTCAAGATTATTACCCTTTGAAAATATTTTTCAATGTAGGAGCCTTTAAATGCAATATATATTTTTCTTTTTAAACTTCATAGCCATCTGAAAAGAATCATCAGAAACACGTTGTTATAAAATAATAAAAAATAATTGTAATTAAGAGACCAGAAGAACAGAAGAATTATTTATATTTCTCTCTCTTATCAGATTATAGTACTTCAATTAAGCTTAAAGCATGGTTTTAATGTAAAATATTAAGTGTTAAAATAATAGCATCCCAATATGACAGATGTTATTTTCTTTGTTATGATGGAAAAGAATAATTTAGAATGAGAAGTGGTTTTTAAAATAATAATAATACAGATGAAGAATCTATTAATACCAATAAAAATAATATTACTTCTGTAAATATAAAAAGTGCTGAAAGATCTTTAATAAATGAAAGTGTTCCTCCTATAAAATCATTTAGTGATAATCGTAGAATCAATTCTGTAAAACACAGAAATGAATAGATTTCATTAAAAAATAAAATATTATTAGTTTAACAGAAAAAGCTCGAATTATTATCATAAAATGTAATTAAAAAATACTAAAAAATGTTAGTACAATCTTATAAATAATTAAATTAATCAAGAATGATGAAAAAATACATTAATTAATGGATAATTAATCTAAATGTCTTAAAGTTTATTGAAATGCTTTATGCTCATTTTAAAATCAATAAAATATTAAGATGTATGAATAATTCTCCTAAATATTATACACAAAGATGGAAATAAATGAATGAAAAAACTTCATCTTTAAATATGAGAGTATTAATGCAAGCTAATTTAACTCTATCAATTTTTTCAAAATAATTAAATGAAAAAATTTCAAAATAAATATCAGAACTTATATTAATAACTTTAAATGATACTCTTTTTATTAAAAAACAAGCTTAATTATAATAATCTTTTATGAATTTTTACTTAAAAGTTAAACAAATATAAGAATTTTATTTTACATAAAGAAATAAATTCTATCTTTAAATGGAATAAATGATTTAAAATATTAGATAATAATCCCCATAAATTCTTATTTCTAAATAAAGAATGAAAAGAATTATGTTCGAGTTTTATTAATAATTGTGTACTAAACATAAATAAGAATATTAAAGATTTTTGGAGTTGGAAGTATCTAATGTTACCTTATTAACATCAGTATTCGCAATATTTTCAAAGCCAAAATTGAATATCATGAAGAATCAAATATTATTGCTCTAAATTATTGAACAAACCAAATGATATATTATTATAAAATACATTTCTGAAATTATTATAATTCACTTAGCGGCATCCCATTATTATTTTAATCCAATAATTGAGCTAATAGTTCCAAAGAAACCAATCCATTTACCAGGTACTCTTCCATTACTAATAAATCCATAAGCACTCTAATATTAAAAATGATATTTATACCAGCAAGTCCATAAAGGCTCTTAATAAATCCAATTTAAGATTGAAAAGACGTTGGGATGACTTTGAATCTTGACTTTTATTTTCTTCTTCTCTAATTTCTAAAATTAATGCAATGCAATCAAAGAACGCCTCAAAGCACCAAAGTGCGTCACTCCAATAATCTGCCTTAGCTTCTAGTTATGGGTTTTGGATAACTTAAATCTAAGTTAAATATTGAATTTACTTTACAAAACCAATGAGTATGATCAACTAAAAAATAAAGAAAGCAAGAAATATTCATCAATATTTTATTAAGAATGATTGCTTTATTTCCTTTTTATTTTGTTAATTCCATAATTGAAATTATGATACCAATTGTTCTTCCAAATCTTAAGACTTTTCTTGTTAAACTCATGTTTGAGCTTAAATTTTTACACTTTAATGATAATTCATCTTATTTTAATTCTTTCAATTATTCTGCACAAAATTTACCAAAATATTGTAATATTCTACAAGACTAATTAAATTATAATATATTTAATACTTACTTTATCTCTTCCAGATGTTTTAGATAATAAAATAACAACTCTTTTAAAATTTTACATTCTTATTTACTTAATTAAAATATATATTATTAAATATTATGTTTTTGATAAATTTAAGAAAATCATCTTCTTCTAACTCCTGCTCCCTCTAATTGATTTACAATCTTGGGAAATAGGGATTATTAAGTTAATAATTAATCCATTAACTTATTATGTTCATTAGTTCTATAATTAAATATTATTATTACCTTTCAACCCATCTGTTATTAGTATTATCTAAATTATCTGATGCTGTCTTAAAATTGGTTTATGCATCTCTAAGTAAATTTTACTTAGTTTAAATTTAAGCTTATAAATAATAAACTATAATTACCATCTCTAGTTTAGATTTCAGCCTAAATAGTTGGAATGACAATTGTTTATAAATTGTTTATTCTTTAATTATATTAACTTAAATTGTGATCATCAATTGCTCTTACCTATTGATAAGAATTTTCTAAGTCTGTTTTATTTTTTACAACAGTGTCTCTTAAATTTTGAATTAACTTTTAAACTTTTGCACTTGCTTCAGAATCATTGAAACTTGGTGCCATAATTTATGTTAATGCAGTAATCAAAGGTCCATACATGATTCTTTGATGTTAGAGTTATTTTAGACCTTCTTCTAAGAATGAAACACTTCTATTCTAAATAAATGAACCATCTCTAAGTTATCCAATTAATTATAAAGCCTAATCAAGAGCTTAAACAGCATTTGTATATTGATTCTATTAATCATTGAAGATTCCTTCTTCTTTTTTGATTCTAGTTGATAATCCATCAGCTAAAGATTAAACTTCTTTCAAATCATCTATTTTTCCATTCAAGGCAATTTATAATAAATCTCTGCTTTCAGTAAAATCTGTAACATCTATTTCTAATTATGCAATCTAATAAAGTAAGCTAATTGGTTTACTTCATTCTGGAATTGAGTAATTTGACCTGAAAAAAATTCCTTGTTTGTGAAATATTAGACTTCATCTTACTAATATGCTTGTTATTCATCTGCTAATCTTGATTTGATTGAATTTTATAAGTCATCTAATGCTGCATATAATTTAGAGAAATCAAATTGTTATGCCTTTGATTTTAGACTAAGTAATTTCAAGAAAGCTTTCCCCAAATGTGTTTATTCTAATTCATTCATTATTGGATTAGATAAAGGACCTTGAATTTGACTTGCCAAAGTGAGAGAAATCAATAGTAAAGAAACTAATTTCCTCATACAATCCGTTTTTAATATTAATATATAAAAATAATCATTTATATAATATTAAATTGAATATCACTTTATTTCATAATTTGATATATATATATGTATATAAGTGTTGTTTTTCATAGAGATTTCTTATTAAAACAATTTGTTAGATCTAATATAATTTATATTCTTTGATAGCATTATTGATGTAATCATTTTTAATATATAATTAATATAAATAAATCATATTTTAATAATAATTCAAAGCTGAATAGTAATTACATAATTTAAATAATAATTGATTTTATATATGATGGTTTAATATTATTCTTTGATATATGATTGAAATAATTGAAGTAGATAATTCTATTAATTTAATTTTTGGGTTGAGAATTAATAAATTTATGTTGGTTGATTGTATTTTGAAAAGAAAAGCCTTTATTAATCTCTTATATTTAAAGAAATAATTAATAAAGATTTTGGTTAATAAATTTAATAAGTTTATTTTTGAATATGTAAGAATAACTTGATCGAGCCAAACTTTAATTAGAAACAGAAGTAAAATAATTAGCAGTAGAATTTGTTAGAAAATAATACTTAGAACTCTTTTTATATCTATATGTTTATTTTTTAATTTCCTTTTATTTAGAAAATATTTTATCAACAATATAGATTGTGATTTGCTTAATTTTTATTGATATATGTAATATTTATAACATTATTATAGGCAGATGTGCTTAAACTTGTTATTGTTTATAAAAAGAATTAAAGGTGTATTATTATTTGGAATCATTTATATATGGTTTAATGAAAATTTGTTTTATTTTGATTGTTGTGCTTGAAATTGAGTTTTATTTGATGTTAATAATGTTTCCATTATTATTGTTGATCCTAAGATTGCTTATCTATTGCAATAAAAAAAAATACTTCGCATTTGTTGCATTTTAATAGTTCGTATAGCATAAAGAATGACATAATAGTTTAATGTACTATGGAAGATAGTAATATTAGTTGAAACTTTATCAGTTACTCTAAAATTAGATAATTTTGTTGCTTGGGATTGGATACAAGTCTTATGGTTATTTTTGATACTATTAATATTAAATGGAGTGATAACATTTGTCTCAGTACTATATTTTGCAATTAAAATAATACCAGATTTGATTAAGAAAAATTAAAAATAGAAGAGTAAGATATAATATTCATATTAAGATGCTTATTATATATAATTTGTTTTATATTAGACAACAATATTTTTGACAAATCTATTTTTATATCTTAATCTATTTGCTTTGAATATCATTCTGCCTATTTTATTTGTATTTTTAACATTATTTACATATTTCAAAAAAAAAGATTTGGAATAATATTATGCAAATTTCATATTTAATTTAGAAATGGGAAAAGATTTAGAAGAAAAATAATAACCATATGAATAACCTACAATCTTATAAAGAGTTTCAACTAATTATTATAAACCAATTATAACTAATGTTGGATAAAGATAATCAAGTCAACCTCCTATGTTGAGTAATGATCTATAATCAGTAAATTCTGAGGAATCTAATTTATGTATTATTTGCTAAGATAGAGTTGGTGAAAAGATTTTCATGCCGTGTGGTCATGGCAAATTTTGTGCATAATGTATAGGAAATGCAGAATCATGCTTTCTTTGTAGAATTGAAATAGCTTAAGTTTTAACAGTTTAATAAGAACATGTAAGTTTTGGAATTATTGCTAAATGATATTTATATATATATATAGATCATATTATGTATTAAAATTAAAACATTATATTTTAAATGGCTTGCATATCCAAAGAATATTTAAATTCCTAATTTTAATATAAATTGCAATTGAAATTTGATTGAATTTTCTAGAATAAATCTAAAAAATAGTATTTAATTAAAAATTTTAAATAGTTTTAAGCTATTTCGTGTAACAAAGCTTATTAATTTAAACAAATTAAAAATACTTTTTGATATATTATTATAATATTATAACTATATTAGAGTATTATAATAAGAAAATGCTGTAAAATATATATTGATTTGATTATGTCATTAAATATTATAACTAATTAAATTTCTTGTTTGACAAATAATAAACAAAGAGGTTGAGTATTATAAATTAAATATTGAAGTAGATTATTATTGTTATTATATGATAATCGGTTATAATAAAATAATTTATTTACTTATTATGATATATATATTAATCATGTCTTTGGCAATATTTTCAGATATGCAGTTATTATAGCTTCTTTATTTAAATTGTATCTTCCAACTTGATAATTATCTTGCATATCTTTTCCTTTGTAAAATAATTTCATGGATTCAAATTAAATTTGATTTTCCTTCTGTAATTCAACATTTATTATTTCTTTCAAATCAATAACATTTTAATTTTGTTTACATTCAACTACAATATCCTTACCATTGAGATTGGCACTTCGAATTATTAATTTTAAAGATTCATTACTGTAATTTTAAATTAAACCTCTATCCTCAAATTTCTCATTTGAGTACTCTATTGGATCATTTATGCAAAATATTGGTACATCATATTTTTGTCCCAATTTATCATATACATGTTATAAGGAATCCTTTATTGGTTTTAATTCAGCCTCTTGTACTAATAATCGAGCAGTTTCTAATATACTTTTATCTCAATACCCTCTTCCTCATTTATTATCGACCTTAAAATCTACCAAATCTCTTGTTTTCCCTCAACTCTAGTTTCTTAAATCAATTATATAATTCATTACTTACCCCAAAAAACATTCCTTAATCTGTCAATTTAGCCAATATCAATATGACTTTTATATGCTTATGTTCTCTTTAAACCCTTACCACTAAATTGTTATTCTATTATATCAAAGTATATTTTATATTATTCATTCACATCCTAGATTACATTCCCATTTTATTATTATCTTCCAATTACTCTAGGTATAATTTATTATTAATGAACTCCTTGATGGTTACCCTCTCTATTTTCAGAATGAGAACAGCAACTACCCATTAAATTAATTTTATTTTATTATATTTAAAATATCATCATTATATAGTTTTTATCTATAATATTATATCCTTTCCATAATTAAATTCTAAATATATTCTATTTTGAACTTTCTTTTATTCTATAATAAATTATAAATAATTATGAATCTGTATCAAATTTATATTTATGATATACATATATATAAGTTGATATTATATTAATCATATTTATTAGATAATTTGATCTTAAATATAATAATTAAATTAATTATTGAATTTGATTAATTTTATATAAAAATTATAGTTTTTATCTATTTCTTTATATAAATCAATTTAATAGATATAATGAAAATGAATAAATATTTAACATAAATTATTTACTAATAAAATATATTTTTAATGAATAATTCAATCCATAATTGGTTATTGTAATTATATCTAAGCAAAATATGTATGATTATTATTTTCTTATATTGATTAGAAAAGCTCATCAAAGTTATCATAAATTAATTTAAAACTGTAATCACTTACTTCTAGTTATACCTAAAAAATTAATAAATATTATTTACAGGATTTGGTTATTTGACCTTCATGAATATTTAAGCCATATTTTTAGGAATTTCACTTTTAGTCCATTAATAATTATAAATATTAAATTTGGGAACATTTTCTTCACCATCTGCATTTCCTGCATCTTTTGGTTCTTCATCACCACCATCACCTTCTTATTTAGGAGGTGGTACTTCAGGTTTTTCTAAAACCCATTCAGGATCATTGATTTCCGAATTTAATGGTTATTCTGTAATTGCATATAAAACTTTAATTTATCCTAAAGATTTCTCAACCATCATTAATTCATCTGTAGCTCTTGGGAATATTTATTCTTATTATTATTTATCTCCTTATTAATCAGCTGATATATAACCCCATAATAATACATCTCTATAATAATAATTTATATTATATCTTACCTGCTTTATATAGGTAAATCATCTATGTATTACTTAACTAATTTCATTACGGTTTCAGGAGTAAAATTAGATGGATTTTTACAATTTTATTTTGTCCATCTCATTTCATAATCATTAGAAAGTTTTTCAAAGTTTTTAGCAATTAATTATTCAACATCTACAAATGACATTTTGTATTTTGCAGCAATGTTTATATAAATTAATTTCAATGCTTCATAAATATCAGAATCTAAATTAGCTAAAATTGATGCCAAATAAACTCTTTTTCCAAATATTTAATCAATTGATTTATAATTTTATTCCAAAGAATAATTTGTATCTTATTTAAATAATTTACAATCAGATTATTATTATACATAGACTTATACTTACTTTAATATTTCTTCATGTGTCTTTGCATTAGTAATCATCTTCTCTTTATCATCATCTGTCATTTCAGCTGCAGCATCCATTTCACTCTTTATTTTATATCTAATCCATTAATTTGTTTAATCTATTCCAATATTTAATACCCAACTAGCCTATCCTAAATTTAAAAACTATAAAATCTATTCTGGTTTTTCACATCCTGGTGGAAATCTAACAAAATTAATATATTCTAATACCCATCAAATACATATTTCTCATTTGTTACATTACTAAACAAATCCTTATAATATTTAATAATCATAGGTAATGTTAATTCCTCTATTTATTCTCCAGGAACTGTACTTAATTTCTCTTTCAATTAAGCTATTGCAGTTTCTCCCCATTCAATTAAATTAAAACCAAATTTTTATGAAATATATTTAGCAAATGTTGTCTTACCTGACATTACAGGACCAATAACAATACCATATTTTATTCTTTTTGTTAAATAAGATTAAAATGGTCCTAAATCTTCATTTTAAATAATCAAATTTTTTCCCTCTGCTGAATAATGTAATACTGGATTCATTTTAGCAGAAAATGATACAGTTTTTCCTTCCTTTAAAAAATTAATTAATCCTGTAATTGGGAATAATTTATCTTCAAATGTTCTAAATTCTTAATATTTTTCAGGGAAACTTGTAAGAATAAATTT